CTTCGAAAACTTTTCCAACATGGGTGCCAACTGGTGCTGTCACTGCGGTTACGTCCTGCCACTTGGTCGGAAACAAACCAAGAAGTGCAATGGTGAGTGGACCTACTATTCTCATCTGCAAACCCCACTAACGGTGATTCAGAATGTGGTCTCACCTGTCACGCTCACTGCGTTCACTTCGTACCTGACTTCTGCGGTATGTCCATGGAAGTGGCTAATCAGATTTTGATGGAAATCAAGAGGACGAGAAGAGGACAGTCATCGTCGGGCCCAGGCATGAGCGGACGGACCCTGCGACCGGATAAGCCAGCAAAACCTCTGCCACCAGCGCAACCTCAATCTCCAGGTCAACCCGGTCAAGACCAAGCCCAATCCGATAGGTACTCTTACGGGAAAGAGCAGATGAGTCCTCCGCCTGGCCCTCCACGACAACAATCCTATGCCACATCGGCGGCGTCAATCGATGCGGCAAGAGCCTCCTTCTCTGGATCCAGCTCTGGTGCGGCTCCCACATCGCCTACTGCAGGCTCAAGACCTTCATCGGGCCCACGCACTCAATCCTCGGTCGCTGCGGCTGCAGCTGCGATGAACAAAACCACAGCTCAACCTGCCTATGGCCGCAGTAACACGGACTATGCGCCACCGGGCGGAAGGACGTCAGGTAGTGGATACCCAGCAGATCAACGCATACCACAACAGCAAGCTCCTCAATCGGCCACTTACGATCCATCGGCATATGCCAACATCCCGAGCTACCCACCGAGTCATCAACAACCCGCAGCGATGCCCAACTACCCACAAAAGTCTTCATACGCTCTACCACAGCCATCGCCACAAGCGCAACCCCCGCACCAGCAGCAAGCGCCTCCTTCGCAACCGAAGATGCAAGAACCCTCCGCACCCGCGAAACAACCCCCGTCGGCGGTAATAGAAGCACCAGGCAAGAAGGTCACACCGGCAGCGAACACACAAGGAACTGGAAAGAGGATAGGCTTGGACCACTTCAACTTCCTTGCAGTCCTGGGTAAGGGTAACTTCGGAAAGGTCATGTTGGCAGAGACGAAGAGCACCAAGCAGCTTTACGCTATTAAGGTCCTGAAGAAAGAGTTTATCATCGAAAACGACGAGGTGGAAAGCACGCGCTCAGAGAAGAGAGTCTTCCTGATCGCGAACAAGGAGAGGCATCCGTTCCTCTTGAGTTTGCACGCTTGTTTCCAGACCGAGACCCGTGTGTACTTCGTCATGGAGTACATTAGTGGTGGTGACTTGATGTTGCACATTCAGAGAGGCCAGTTCGGCACGAAGCGCGCTCAGTACGTTTTCAGATCACGATCTTTAAGGCAATCGCCGCTAACATGTCCACAGGTTCTATGCTGCTGAGGTCTGCCTTGCACTGAAGTATTTCCACGAGAACGGCGTCATCTACCGAGATCTGAAATTGGATAACATTCTGCTCACGCTAGATGGACATATCAAGATCGGCGATTACGGGCTGTGCAAGGAGGAGATGTGGTACGGATCAACTACCAGCACCTTCTGTGGTACTCCCGAATTCATGGCACCGGAGGTAAATATCGTCCATCATCCACAAATTCAAGTCACTAACGCAAATTTGTAGATTCTTCTTGACAAGAAGTACGGCCGTGCCGTTGACTGGTGGGCCTTTGGTGTGCTCATCTACCAGATGCTTCTCCAGCAGTCACCCTTCCGTGGTGAAGACGAAGACGAAATCTACGACGCCATTCTTGCCGACGAACCCCTCTACCCCATCCACATGCCGCGCGACTCGGTATCTATCCTCCAGAAACTGCTCACCCGTGAGCCTGAGATGCGTCTTGGATCTGGACCGACCGATGCCCAAGAGATCATGTCACATGCTTTCTTCAGAAACATCAACTGGGACGACATCTACCACAAGCGTGTACAACCGCCATTTACGCCACAGATCACGAGCCCAACGGATACTAGCAACTTCGACACCGAGTTTACAAGTGTCACACCTGTGCTTACGCCTGTGCAGTCTGGTACGTTGCTCAACCCTGTATACATATGTATTACTTTTACTAACAACACATCTAGTGCTTTCACAAGCCATGCAGGAAGAATTCCGTGGCTTCTCGTACTCGGCTGATTTCGCCTAAAGCTTGCCTTGCCTTACACTTCTGATACCCTAGGCTTTCGTTTGGGAAAATGGGTTGTTCCTTTTGCTTTTGTGTGGTTAGCGTGCTCAACAACCTGCCTTGGCGACGAAGGGGCGGTGGAGGGGGAGGGGCAGTAATGCACCCGTACGTATGTTATTAGCATGAAAAGCGCAGCGTGCTAAGCGTAATGATCTCTTGAGTGAACGGACGGAGGGGAAGGGTATAATCACGCATGGATATGTTCGGCTCGAGGGGGTTGGATCGTTGTGGTGTAGTGTAGTAGTGTGTGATAGGGAGATGTTTGTGGAGCGAGCAAGCGATAATGATTTTGCATGGGCAATCGACATTACAGGATAGACGAAACAAATGCCTTCGATTTGAGAACATACTTCAAATCTATCATATCCAAACCACAGGTAGATAACCAAACCCACCTACTGACCCTCAGTAAGCACCCTCGTCCAATCAAACTTCCTCCACCCCTTCCTCCATCCCTCAACCCTCCGATCCCCCTTCACCCATCTCCCCTGCCTCTTCACAACCTCAACACCCGCATCCAACATCCCGCCCAACACCTCCCTCGCAAACAAATCGCCCCTCGGCCACGCCCTCTCATCCTCCACAATATGCCCCAACCCCCCATCCAACTCAAACCAAACATGAAAATACGGCATCTCCTTCGCCAGACTCCTGCGGAAAGCCTGTTTCCCAAGCCCATTCCGACTCGCCTTCTGCGTATCAATAAGCGGTTTATGCTGCGTCCAATCGCTCGCAGACTCGAGGATCGCTTCTTTGAAAAACGCAGGCGCCGTGTCACCTAGTTCATACGGTATAGGCACGGCGTTGAGCGCCGCGTGTCCTTTTCTACCCGGGAAAGCGGCGTTTTCGTAGAAGACGACGTCGCGGCCTTGGTCGTGGTACATGCGCGTGAGGCACTTCATGAAATTGCGTATTTCGTCCCATTCGTCGTCGTCGCATTCGAGCAGGTTGGTGCGGTGCTGGATGGGGACTATGACGGCGCCGCCGGTGCTGATTTCGGGTTCGGTGGGCAGGGTCAGGAAGACGCGGGTTGCGAGGCTGATGATGGGGGCGATGGGGGGTTGGGGCGGGGATTTGTCTTCGTGGTGGCAGAGGGGGCAGGCGTCGAGGATGCGGTTCATTTTTGTGTAGTCCTGAATCGCGGCGTTGCGCAGGTTGATTGAGGATTTGGGGGCGCGGGCGGCGAGTTTGGTCGCGTTGTCGTCGATGTAGTCGAGGTCGTTGTCGAATTTGCTGTCTTTGGCTATCTTTTCGGCGAGCAGGGCGCCTTCGCCGCCGGCTTGGTTTTTGGTGCGCCGTTCTTGTCGGACCATGTCGTCGATGGTCATTTCTTCGTTTTCTTTGACAAGGCCGCGCTCCGTGCCGCGTTTGTTGGTTAGGGCGATGACTTCGCCTTGTCGGCCGCCGGCTAGCATGCGGTTGTCCATTGCGTTTAGGACGACGACGTCGCGGTTTTGGGAGGTTGAATTGCCTGTGAGGGCGGCGTTGTATTCGGCTTCCAGTTGGGCTGCTTCGGGGGCCTTCTTCATCTTTGCCTTCATCATCTGCGCTTTTAGTCTGTTCAACTCGGTCTGGCTGAGCATGACAGTGTTTGTTGCAGGTTGAGGGTCTTGCACTGTTTCGCCTTGGGGTAGTTCTGAGGGTTCGTGCGACTCGCGAGACGGCCTGTGTATGCCTGCGTTCAGTCTGCGTTCTTCATAGAGCTCCCCAGATGGCTTCTCCTTTCCGACGTAATCTTGCCCATACATCTTTCTGCGGTCCAGCTCAATCTCTTCCTCGCGCGCCTCATCAAAGTCCCGTAGATCGCCATACTTCTCCATGGCTATTTCTTCCACACTTCGTCCTGACTCCTCTGCGTTTCGGTAGATGCCCTTCAGTTTCGTCATGCGCCATTGTGCACCTGAGTCACCGAATGTGTAGCTGACTTCTCTTTGCGCGGGCTCTTCGGCGACGGCTTCTTGGTCCTTGGAGTTCCCCAAATCACGGTTCAGCTCCGCGTGATGCATCTTGAGCGCAGGTTGACCCTCATCCGACGCCTTCACATAGGTAGCCTTCTCCTCCTTATTCTTGCGCTGCACGTATTCGACATCCATGGAAGAAGGCGCCTTCATCCAGTCGTCGCGTTGCAGATCTGCGTTCGCTGCGTCTTCGAGCTGCTGATCGAGGATGTCGTCGTCTGGTGGCGCGTAGTCCTTCTCCTGGGGCACCTCGTCTCCCGACGACTCGTCTTCGTCATAGTGTCGCGACTTGCGCTTTCGCGTCAACCGGTCTTCCTCGTCACTCGATGCGGTTTCCTTGTGCTTCCGTCGCGACCGGTCATCTTTGTCGTCCCTCTCGCGCCTTTTCCTCCGCGCGCGCTCTTCCGAAGTTTCGCGATGGTGTCGCGATCGCTTGTGACGGTGGCGCTCGTCTCGGTCGTCGTCGTGATGGCGCGATGAACGGTGCTTGTGGTGTCTGTCGCGACTTCTGCTTCGATCGCGTCTCTTCTTGTCGTCCTTCTTCTTGGTCTGCGCGAGTTCCTTCTCAAAATCCTCCAGGCCCATGTTGACGGTGATACTAAGTCGATTGGTGTTGATAGACTTGTCGCGAGAGGAAAGTTTGGAGACAGAAAGCTCGGGCCTGACATCACCGCGGCGGATTCCCTAGCGCGCGTCCGCCCCGCCTAAGAATTTCTAGAACAACTCTCTACATCCCGCTGTCAACAACGTTGCTTTACCTGACCCTCCTTACAGAGCATCACGCGTTTCCTCCGATAGACCGCTGCCACTTTTCCACTCGTTCTCCGAACCTTCACTTTCACCCCTCGATCGTCTACAAAACATGCGCACAACTTCCGCAATGTCCTCCGCAAAGGCTCCAGAGGGCTCTGCGCCTGCCGCGAGTTCAAACACACCCGTTTCGATTGTCTGCGTGGGCATGGCTGGTAGCGGCAAGACGACCTTCATGCAGCGCCTTGTTTCACATCTCTATACCCATCCCGACCCAACTCAAAGCGAACCCTCCGTCTCCAAAGCGTCCCCGACACCCCCGTACATCATCAACCTCGACCCCGCCGTCCACCATGTCCCGTTCACGCCCAACATCGACATCCGAGACAGTGTCAACTACAAGGAGGTCATGAAGCAGTTCAACCTAGGACCCAACGGCGGTATCTTGACCAGCTTGAACCTATTCAGCACAAAGATTGATCAGGTCATTGGTCTGTTGGAAAAGCGAACACAGCCGCCAGCGCCAGTAAAAGAGCCAGAGCAAAGCACAGTCGAATTCATGACAAGCGGGGGCAAGGACAAGCAGGCAGCGCCGGCGCAACAACCGCAGGTCAAACACATCCTCGTGGACACGCCAGGGCAGATCGAGGTCTTTGTCTGGTCGGCAAGTGGAGAGATCCTGCTTTCGAGTTTAGCCAGCACATTCCCCACCGTCATCGCATACATCATCGACACACCGCGCACAACTAGCACAAGCACCTTCATGTCCAACATGCTCTACGCCTGCTCCATTCTCTACAAGACAAAGTTGCCCATGATACTCGTCTTCAACAAGACCGACGCCCAAGACGCCCAGTTCGCGAAGGATTGGATGACCGACTTCGAGGCCTTCCAAACCGCCCTACGCAACGAGGAAGAGGGTGGCAGCTTCGGTGGTGAAGGCATGGGTGGAGGAAGCGGATACATGGGCAGTCTGCTGAACAGCATGTCACTGGTACTGGAGGAATTCTACAAGCATCTCAGTGTTGTGGGCGTTAGTGCTATGACCGGAGACGGCATGGATGAGTTCTTCAAAGGCGTGCAAGAAAAGAAGGAAGAGTTTGAGCGCGACTACAAACCCGAGCTTGAGCGACGTCGGGCGGAAAGGGAGCAAGAGAAGAAAGCGACACGTGAGCGCGAGTTGGACAAGATGATGAAAGACATGAAGGTGGGCGGCGCGGGCGCAAAACCAAAGAGCAAGCCGCGAAAAGAAGAGCCCGAGACGGTCAGCGACGCAGAAAACTCCGACGAAGCCGGCATGATGGACGAAGACCTAGACTACGAGGATGAGATGGACTCAGATGATCCAGAAAACGGCCTAAAAGAGCGATACAGGCAGGCAGTCAACGACCGCGGCGTCGACCAAAGCGAGGACCACAGCTTCGCACGATATGTAAACATGGCGAAGTTCACATGAGAGACGCAGCACCCACCATGCAAAGACACCCGACTCCAGCGATGACAATGGTTGGGCCTTGACATTGCACGATAGGCAGTCTCGCCTCCGGATTCCTGGTTCGTGTTCGGGAAGTAGCTGCAGGCGCTCACATGTGCGGCCGCGAAGACATATGCTGTTGAGAAAGTTACGGGCGACGTGCATGGTTGACGGGCCGCAGCGAGACTGCCGTGTCAGTGTTTTGCATCAACATTAGTCACACACGCACGCGTACTGAACCCTTTTCTCACCCATGCTCTCGATGCTAAAAGCAGTCTCCTGCCCACGCACGAGCGGCTTGTTTCGTCTTTACCTGCTTCCTACTACCATGGCTTCGTTATACCCTCGCTCGCGCTGTTATGTGTGTCTTGGTTACAAAGGCGGGAACACGCGTCTTACTTTACTAGACTAGAAGAGAGAGGGTCTCGGAAGCGAATGTTGCACCGCGTGCATGCAGGGCAGAAGAATAAGGGTAGCGAGACGATAATTCTGAGTTGTCGCTAGTTACACCTGTCAGTTGTCAGCTTCGTGCATGTGCAGTGTGTAAGACATTTTCAAAGTTTGTTCTGGATTACCCTTTTTCACTGGCGAAATGACTTCTCATGTGATTTCTTGGTGCTCGGCTGTGGCTGCTTTTCTGGATGGTGAATAGGGTTCTGTGCACGCTGAAGTGGGACGAAGGGGTCTTGGGCACAGCGTGTATGCCATGGTGTTCGTTGTCTGCATAATGCTGGGCGTTCCTTGACTGAACTCTATAGGAGGAGCGGAATAAACAGAAGACTTCGTACAACTAGATACTCAAAACACTTGTGAAGTTTGAGAATATGGTCGCCCCTTGCAGTGATATCTCACTCTATGCTAATGATCACAGCGGCATTGCCACATTCATCGTCATAGTCCTACAGCTCAAAACTCCGACAATAACATCAAGTCCTTAGAACTCATTGCCTAAAATCCCATCCCCATCAGCCATACCCGTACCGCGACTCCCGTCCTGCCATCCACATCACCTCAACACAGCGTGTCGCCTTCGCCAATCATGCCGTGTCCTCCCCTTCGCCCAAGCGCGACATATCCTTCTTCTACATAAAGGCACACTTGTGTATCAGCCACAGTGACACGGCATAAAGGGCCTGAGTCCCTGGCTTAGATGGTCTGTGGCTTGCAGGTTGTAAGATCGACTTTGGGGATGACAGGTCGGTGGGCGCGGCCCTGGGTCTTGGGCTGTCGTACGGGGCGACGGTGGAAAGGGGAGAGGAGAGGGGGATTGGGATGGGTCGGGATGTTGTGGGATGGTGAGTGTCTGCTTACTTCGTGTAGAGTTTCTTTGTGGTTGGCGTGCGTTTGATGAGTGTCTCAACGAGCGTTTATAGAGAAGTGTAACTCTTAGGGTTGGGACTGCCCTTGATCTCTCGTTCATTTGGTATTTCACGTGCGCCGCATTTTTTGTAGCTCTTCTGAATAACAACTAAGGTAGATCCCTTCACTGGAAAACATATCGAACATGCGAGTACATTTCTATGGAGGGCCGTGGAAACAAGGTGGGCTTCTCGTGTTGTGAGACTGCACGACGTAGGACCAAGCGGCCGTCCCTCGCGCCCACGTCCCCGGTGCGACATGAGCACATGGCGTTAATCTGGTGCGACGTAAGAAACCGAAAACTTTAGGATCTCGCTGCTCCTCTAGCATACTTGTGCAAGCACTGTAACTTGAGCAACGTGGCGATAGAAGGGACAGTAACACGCTGCATACTATTCAGAAGCGAGAGGGAAGAGACGTCAGTGACCTCTGCCGCATCACCCTCTCGACAGGAGAGGACGGAACGAACACATCATCCCCGCCAGCTCCACATCACCCTACTTACCCTGGAAACACCCTTCCTCACTTTCCCCGAGCCAGGGAGCAGGGAACGGGGAAGGCGGCAAACCCGCCAACACCCTTACCGTATACACAGCAAATGGCGAACTGCACACATCCATCGTACAAGATGCACAACATCAAAAGACCCGACCATGCATCTCATCTCCGCCCCCCCGCAAACTCGCCTACTGGAGCCAGGCCACGCTGTCTCAGTCATCTTGAGATCTGCAGGCAGATAAACGAACGTCTCACGACAGCGACATCCCGCAGTGGGGCCAGTCCCATCCCTCGCAGCTCGCGTCCAATGTTGTACAGAGCGGGACGAGGGCTTGAAGGCGTGCTGTTGTACGAGTACCTGGGTAAGGGAGAGACATGGGGTACTGCTATAAAGGTATACTGAGGAGTGTTGGGTGTAGCGAGTCGGGTGGTACGACACTGCAATATGTTGTGTTTAGCGAATGCGTGGCTACCGTACAACCATACGCAACCACCGCATCCAACTCTCTGCCCTCGCAACGAGCCATGAAAGCCGCAGTGGCATGAGGTGGAATGTCCAGTCTGACATGCATGGACGCAATCGCCAACGGGCAACTCTACCCGTCAACGAAAATGAGATTAGGCAGAACAGGCAACAAAGAGGCTGATACTCCGAGTAGAAAGCAAGAAATCGATGACTGCAGTCCGCAAACCTAGTTGTTACCTCCTCTTGTATAGCCGTAGCGTTTCCACTAACCACCTCGCTCCAGAAGATGCGAGAGGTCACATCCGCGAGGTAAACCTTATCTTCTCCAGATAAAAAAAGTAAAAAGGTACATACTCCATAGTACAATCGTGGAACCAGTAAGTTGGCCCGCGTAGCCGCGGCAGGGGCACAGACAGACTTTACCAGCAAGAGACAGCGGAAGCCTGATGGTGACACAGCGTCACGGTCCCAAAGTTTGCGTGTTCGCAGCGCCGCTGCTATTATATCCGAAAGATGCCGTGTCGGGTTTAGTAAACGCAGAACGACCGACCCCAGCGCCCCAGCCACACATACGCGCGCCTCGAGATCGTCGTTGGAGAGGGGGGAAACCCAATTTGTTTTCGCTTTTTTGTTGGCTTTGCAGGTTGCATGTGCATGCTGGTTGAGAAACAGATGCGCCCTGTCCTCGCAGCAGTTACGTGCTTACTTGCTCTGCCGATCCGCAAACTTCCGTGATGTACGACCGAACGATACTGCAAACTGCGCGCGAAACATGGAACGACGCAAAAAGCAGAGGAATTGCTGTTGTTTGATGCACATATGATGTCACGCTCAGTTCATCCGTGGGGACAGCATTTCCACGATGGGCACAGATTGCGATGCAAAAGCAGAGGAGCGTTGGAAAGTGAGCCGAGACAGCAGCGGTGCAGCAGGGCAATGGGAATCCGCGATCCGGCGTCAAGTCGGATGTGGGGTCCCTCCCAAGGCGGAACTCGTAACCCAGGGCGCGCCATTTACAGTGCAACCGACGCTGGGTGCCTTGCGACACGTACATTGTGGCTGACGAGTCGAAAACGCGCCCTCGAAGCCAAGGAAATAGACTCCTAGGATGCAATGTTGGGGAATTTCGTTCTCTCCCCGGAGAGCTGGCCTGTTGTTTGGATAGAGTTTGCCCTGCTACGATTTCCGAGCCAATGACAGGGCTTGGAGCCGTGTCCTTCCGAATCGGGGCTCCCGGACCTGAGGGTTCTTGTGCAGATCGTTAAGGTTCAGAGCTAGGCTCGAAAAAGATCTGCAGGGTCATCAGCGTTGTGAAAGGCCTTTTATTAGTGGGTCGCTAGCGTCAGGTTCTACCGATGATTTCGTCGCTGCGCAAAGGGTTGAGGACGAGACCGTTGGACGACGTGGGCTGACTCTAGGCGCGGCGGAATGTGAGCGCTGTGGCGTGTTGATGGGACGAGACTCTGGCATAAGCTTTGGAGGGGTAGAGATTCTAGCGCGGAGGCGCGCCCGCTATGTTAGTATGGCTGAACATGTTGGCGTGCCATGGTTAAGAAGCGGGCAATAGTGCGTTTGGCACGAACTATGAGCTGACAGCGGGGTACCAATCCGCAGTTCGCGGCCGTTTCTTGTCGTCACCATTGCAGGTGAAAACTGCAAGTGAATGCTATCCGTAAGGTTGGTGATCGGCTGTGTCCCAAACAACCCATGGTACAGACGAGCTGTTGAGGTCAGTCACCCGTGCACGGGTCACAACGCAGATTGGTGGAAGATGTGTTTGTAGTAATTATTTGTATTGTTTTCTGGCGGAAGCCACGGCATTACTCCGTGGACATCCGTGATGTGTTTGAACTATGAGAAATCGAAGGTTGATGCCCCTTGAGCAAGGGCGGGTATCCATGTTGCCTATTCCGAGCCCTAATCCCTATCGTCGAATGACATCCTCCACGTACACTGCTCAACAAGAGGATGCTAGCGGAGAGACCGCTGAGAAGGACACAGGCTGTGCGCGGCCAAGTACCGAAGTAATTGGTAGTATATACAATGAAAGAAAAGAAATGCGTGCGTCGATGCGCACTGCTCCCAAACGCCAAGGTCCGTTCGTAGCCATGACGGCATGCGTCTATTGTTCCGTCGGACTTTTGAACTCCATGATATCGTGGTCGTAGCCCTAAGCGCCTCGCTCCAGAAATCCGGTGGTCTGATGTGAAGACCCGAAGAGATGATCAGAGATGTGATCAGATGAACGGTGAAAGAGAGATGAGATGAGCGACTATGACTCAAACTTGCGCTTCTCACCACTTGCTGCGATGGCGAGTGCGTCAAGACCACCGTATTGGGCGGGAGCGGGGTTGTAGCTGTAAGCAGTCGGGTCGGGGTACCGAGAGCTGTTGGGGAACTCGAGGAAAGAGTCGGTGGACTGAACAGCGGGGGCCATGGAGAATCCGGACGGGCTGAGGGGAAGCGAAGGGTCTACCATGGAAAGCTGTGACAAAGACGGCATCGTCGAAGACTGGAGCGGGGCTGGCTTGGGGCGCTTTGCCTGGTGTTTGGCCTTCTTGACGTCGCGCTCACCGCCCTTGGCAGCATTGCGGCCACTTTGGTGGGTGCGGCGATGCTGCTCCATGTTGTCTTTGCGGGTGAAGGCCTTGTTGCACTC